TACCTTTTTGTTCTATTGATGGTGTCCTTTGCTGTACAGAAGCTTTTCAATTTGATGTAATCCCACTTGTTCATTTTTGCTTTTGTTTCGCTTGCCCGTGGAGATACGTTCATGAAGAAATCACTCATATTTATGTCCAAGAGATTTTTGCCTATGTTTTTTTCTAGGAGTTTTATGGTTTCATGACTTATGTTCAGGCCTTTGATCCATTTTGAATTTACTTTTGTGTATGGGGTTAGACAGTGGGGTTAGACAGTTTCATTCTCTTACATGTAGCTGTCCAGTTTTGCCAGCACCATCTGTTGAAGAAACTGTCATTTCCCCATTCTATGTCCATGGCTCCTTAATCATATATTAATAGACCATGACCGTATATGTTTGTGTTAATATCTGGATTCTCTATTCTGTTTCACTGGTCTGTGGGTCTGTTCTTGTGCCAGTAGCAAATTGTCTTCACTACTGTGGCTTTGTAGAAGAGCTTGAAGTTGGGAAGCAAGATCCCCCCTGCTTTATTCTTCCTTCTCAGGGTTGCTTTGGCTGTTTGGGGTCTTTTGTGCTTCCATATGAATTTTTAAACTATTTTCTGTAGTTCGTTGAAGAATGCTGTTGGTATTTTGATAGGCACTGCATTGATTCTATAGATTGCTTTAGGCAGGATGGCCATTTTGACAATATTAATTCTTCCTAGCCAAGAGCAGAAGATGAGTTTCCATTTGTTAGTGTCCTCTTTAATTTCTCTTGTGTGTCTTGTAGTTTTCAGGGTATAGGTCTTTCACTTCTTTGGTTCGGTTTATTCCTGGGTATTTTATTCTTTTTGATGCAGTTGTGAATGGAATTGTTTTCCTGATTTCTCTTTCTGCTAGTTCATTGTTAGTGTATAGGAAAGCAACAGATTGCTGCGAAGGTAATGGTTTTTTAAATATCAAAAGTACAATCAACCAAAGATAAAAGAGCTAAAGTGGACTCACCAAAGTACGAACTTTTGAGCTTCAGAGGACACCCAAAAGAAACAAGAAGACAATCCAAAGAAAGAGAAAAAATGTTTGCAGTTTGCATAACTAGTAAAAGTCTAGTGTTCAGAATAGACAAAGAATTCTTACATCTCAACAATAAAAAAACAACCTAATTTTTTTTTATTAGGACTTGAACAGACACTTCTCCAAAGAAGATATAGAAAAGACCAATGCCCATGCAGGTGCTCACTGTGATTAGCCATTGGGCAATGCAAATCAAATCCCCACTGAGAGACCACTTCACACCCACCCACTACACACCCTTCACATGCATCCTCATACTTCAGGTTTCAGTAACTCCCTTTCACAGATAAGAGAAACAAGACTCAGAAAACTTGAACAGTCTCCCCAGAATCAAACAGCCACTGGCTGTGGGAGCTGACCCATAAAGGCCCTCTTGACCTAAGGCCAGGACCGAACTTGTATCTCCTCCGCACCTCTTCTCAGGGCATGAGGCAGTGCTGCCCAGCAGACATGTGTGGATTTTAATCTGGAAGCCAAAAGAAACAGTTGAATTAATTTTTAAAAATACATTTAATTTCTTGGGATCAACAGAGGTGAGGCTTAGAACCTCACCCCCCCTGTTTCGAGAGAAATCTTCTGCATCCGTGGATGTTTTGTTGCCCTTGTCTAGCTTGGATTAATACTGAGTCTATAGGCACAGACCTGATCATCTACATTTGCCCTCTTACAGCACTAAACTATGTTTTCTACTTTTATCTAGCACCTACCTACCACTTCAGCATTTTATTTAAAAAATAATAATAAGGGAGAAATGTGGGATTCACATATAAATCAAGTATAAAAATCAAACGAATAATCATATCTGACTTGATTGTTTATAGTTCATGATACATGATCAAAACCGAAAGTTTCTGTGATGACTGCCCTTGTACTGTTCACCATGTAAGAACTTATTCACTATGTAAGAACTTGTTCACCATGTAAGAACTTGTTTGTTATGCTTCAGAAGATTGGAGACTGTTGAGAATTAGGCTTGGGGTTGATTAATGATTGTGCATTGAATCCCCTATACAGAATTTTATTGTTGTTAACAACCATTTGATCAATAAATATGAGAGATGCCCTCTCAAAAAAAAAAATGCCATATAGAGTAAAAAATATATATATATATTTTAAATTTCAACCAATATATCCAAAATATTGTCACCCCAGTGTTTAGTCAACTTAAAAAGTTGATGAGTTAGCTTATATTGTTTCTTTCATACTAAGTCTTTGAAATAAGTGTGTGTTTTACACCCACAGCACATCTCAAACTGAAAGCCACCAGGTGTAGGGCACTTACTGTGCGCGAGGCTGGTGGCTGCGTGTGGGGACAGCACAGGGCTAATGGTTAACATGATGGTGTGCAGAGTCACTCCTCTGCTTCTAGCTGCGAGACCGTGGGCAGGTGGCCTACCTTCTCTGTACCTTGGCTTCCTCATCTGAGAAACGGAGGTCATACCACCACCTCACCAGGGCCCGCAGCAGCAATACAGAGAACCTCACCAACGCCGGTTCCAACTGGTGGCCAGAAAACCGCCATTTCAAAGGCTGTGCCCGCCCAACAGCACGCTGGCGTTACCCACGCCCCTCCCCAACATGCCTCCAACTGGCAGCAGCGGCTGGCACTGAGTGGGTGCATCCCTCCCCCCTCAGCCACAGCGTCGGGGGGGGGGGTCCCGGAGGGCAGGGCCTCCGGGAGGGGCGGGGGCAGGCGCGTACCACCGGGTGGTGGCCTCGCTCCGCCGCGATGGTGGCCTCCTGCTCCCAGTCGGCGCCCCTGGCTTCCGCAGCCCCTTCCCCGCCGGCCGTGCCGTCTTCCTCTTCCTAAGCCACAGGCTCGGACTCGGCGTCCGCCCTCCTGCCTGGGCGCCGCCACCGCGTTTTCGTCTCCTTCCTCCTTGGCTTTCCAGCCCGCGCGGCGTCCCCGCCGCCCCCTGCCCGCCCCTCCACCTCTGGGGTCCGCCAGCCTCTCGTCGCGGTGCTAGCGCCCCTTCTTCGTCGCTCGCCGCCCCCGCCCGTGTGCCCCAGGCCTTGGGTGAACCTCCCGCACGGCCCTCCCCAAGCCCTTCCCAACTTTTCTCGTCCGATGGTTTTTCTTCCGTTTGCTTTTCACCTTCCCCACGTCCCTTCGGGCGCGCGCGTCTCCCTCGCCCAGGGCGCTGGGCCTTCCTGTGTGTGCTGCCTGCAGGGCCCCATCCCCCGGGACGTCTTCAGCTGGTCCCCGGCACCCCCTCATGGCCTCGGAACCTTGCCCATTAGAGAACACACCGTAAGCGGGCCACCGGCCCCAGCTCGGAGAGGAGGGGGATGGCCCACGTGGCCGAGGCCCAGCCACCCCGGGAGCTCACAGGGAGGCGGCAAGGACCCCGGACGCACTGGCGACACTGCAGCGCCCTGATGCCCCCCTCGGCTGCACGCACAACCCCCGGCTGCGTGTTTCTCCCACCTCCCACCGAGCTTCAGAAAATGCTTCTGTGTCTCCGCACTGGTGTCCTCGTCGGGAATCCAGGGCAGCGCAACCGGTGGGCTCGGAGCTGCCCCCGGCCGGGCCACGCCAGGCCACTGCGTCCCTCCTGCCCCAGGCTCACCAGTCCCCAGGCACGCGCGCTGCTGGGGGAGGGCATGAAGGAGGAGCCATTCCGTTGCTTTCTCCCCACCCAGGATCCCCTGACTGATTTCACAATTAAGTCCTATCAGAAAGTTAGACAACGGATTCATTCACTGTCTTCTTATATTTGTAAGAATAAACATCACACAGGCATGAATGTTTATAAAGTTAGTCATGAAAATCACTTTAAGATGCTTACCTGGCCTTTGTTCTGGAGCGGCTTTTCAGTTATTCATCTTCACCTGCTTGCTGGTCCACGCAGATACAGAATACAAATTTATGTATAAATATGCAAATCTGCTGCTCACTTAGAAAGCCTGACATTCCTCAAACGGGTAGAAATACAAATAATCTTGTAGAAGTCTCCCGTCTTTTAATGGGCTTGTTTCTAAAATGTGCTTGCTAAATATGGTAAACCTCTGAGCGGAGGCACGAAGGGGCAAAACTCTACCATACTTGAGCCGGTGGGAGCTGCAAAACTCTATCCTGCCTGCGGGGGGCCTCCGCGAGCCACAGGAAGGCTGGCGGGCAAAGCCACCTCCCATCACCACCAGGTCCGCTTCTGTGCCATCAGTACCACAAATGCCCCACAACTGTTAATTTAGAAAAACAGTCCTTCAGAAGTACTTTGATTACTACTTTTAAAAAGTAATCAGTGTGAGCAAGTTTATTCAGAAACGAAACCCAAACTAAACAAAGAGACAGACAGTAGCAGCCTGAGCAGGATCTGCAGGAGGGCACACCCTCACAGCCCTGCCAGGGGTCCCCAGGCCCTGAGTCACGGGGGCCAGGCGCGACCAGTCACCCATGACCAAGCACTCCCAACAGTCCGTTTCATACCCCCTGGGGTGGCTATCGCAAAAAAGAAAATTTTCTAACAGGAGCTGGCAAGGACGTGAAGGAAGAGTTCCTCAACACTGCTGGTGGGGCTGGACAACGGTGGAGCCACCCTGGAGAACAGTCTGGCAATTCCTCAGTACGGCAGTTACCAAAGGACCCAGCAATCCCGTTCCACATCTCGGTATTCAGACACCTGTAAAGGGATATTCACAGCAGCAACATTCACAACAGCCCAAAGGTGGAAACAACCCAAAATGTCCATCAGCAGATGAATGGATAAATAAAAGGTATATTCACACAAAAGAATATCCCTAGCCCTAAGAAGGAAAGTACTCATTTATGCTACAATGTGGATGAATCTTGGAAACATGCCAAGTGAAGGAAGCCAGATACAAAAGGACAAATATTATATAATCCACTTATGTAGAATATCCAAAATAGGCAAATCTGTAAAATCAAAAACAGATTAGTGGTTGTTAGGGGCTGAGAGATGAGACAAATACAGGGTATGGCATCTCCTTTGGTGTGTTGGAAAAGTTCTAGAATTAGTGATGATGGAAGCGCACGATTATAAATGTGCTTTACTGCCACAGAATTGTATGCTTCATAATGGTCAAAATGATGAACTGTATATTATAGAAATTTCATCACTGAAAAAAAAAAACTGCAGAAGTTTCCATGATTTTCTGACATTTTTCATGACAGAAGAAGTAGGGTTGGAACGAAATACCCAGCAGAGAGAAATTCTGACTTTGTCTACAGCACAGAGGCTGCACACTGCAGGCACAGAAGCGCCATCTGGGTCACGCACATTTCTGTTTGCCCCACCAAGCATTTTTGTAAAATTCAGCAATATTTAACACTTGGGACATTTCAACCTAAAAATCCCAATTTCTGCAGCCTAAAGAAACCGGCAACCTGGAACATGTGGGTCTGCACACCCAGACACGTACTTAGATGCGAACCTAAGCTCACAGCATAGCCATGGCAGGGAGTGGGTGGAAGCAGCAAATGGCAGACATAAAAGGGACTGCCCCTCCTTTCCCCGGAGTAGCACATCACAGGAAATACAAACACAATTTGAGACTCAGAAAAAACACTAAATTAAACAGCCAAGTGCTTCATTCAGAAATGGAAATATTATTTAAAACAACATAGCTCAAACTACCCCCATGCACTGTGAACTGACACACAGACCCTGTTGTCAGGCCGTGTGTTCATTTACAGCCCCTAATTTCTCAAGGCCAAAACCTACCAGTTTTCCCATCAGCTTCTCCCTTTGTTCTGCTGGATAGAGGTCGCTGTTTACAGGTCATCTCATGCAAGAAAGAGGTAGGAAACAGGCAGGGCAGATGAAGCAGGCAGAGGCACCTGTGTGCCTAATGCCTTTTAAACTATTTTTGGTTCTGTTTTTTGAAAAAGATGTGGTTACTCCTACAGTTACAATGATTTCAGCAAGATCACTACTTTAAGACAAAATCAAACCAAAAGAAGGAACCAATGGCAGCTGAGGGAAGCCCCAGGAGCCTTACACCTCAGCTCTGATGAGCGTGCAAGACATCGATTTCCTGCACCTCGGGCAGCAGCTCACATCACCAACCATTCCACAGCTCCACTGGAGTCTTAACTTCTGCTTGAGTGAAAGCACAGACTGGACAGAAACAGGGCATGCAGGACGCCGCCTCATGGCCAAGGCTGAGCCCTGAGGACAGGTGACGCTCCTACCCCCCTACCTCAGGGCACTCAGCCCATTTCCTCACCATCCCTGCCTCCTCCACAGAGGAAAGGGATGGAGAACAAACCTTCCCTGGTAATAAGATCATCCTGGCCTGGACTGTCTTTGGAAATGGAAACTGTACTTTCTTCTATCATGAACTGCCACAAGCCACAAGGTACAAGCCATCTACTGAGAGCATGTCCTTGTCCCTGCTAGTGGCTAGAACTTCTGTTAAAACACTGAGATGAACCCCACCAATGTGTCCAGCCCATGGCCCCAGGGAAGACCAAACCCACAGGTCCCCTAGGATGGGTTCCAGCCCCCTGGCACCACACAGCACACCAGCAAATAAAAGCTTCGAATCTGGTCCTCCCTACATTTTTCCCTCATGTTTTTGGTTCGGCTCCCGCATTTTGTTTGCATTTTCCGGCTTCATCTACTTCATGTTCTATTTAATGGGACTTTGGAGGGAGAAAATGCAAACCAACGTTTAAATGACATCTTCGATGGAAAGAAACACAAGCTGCACAGAAAAGCATAAGATCACCCTGCCCTCTCCTTCTCCAGCTTGATAGCCCATGTGCATACATCCATTCCCATCGATGCCTGGGTCCTTGTTTGCAGAGTCGAAGAATGAACTCAGCAAACAGTCAAGATAGGAGAGCCAGGGAGACTTTTATTGAGAGATGCAGTGAGAGGACAGACAGAGCTCCTGGCTCACGCCAGGAAGGGACAAGAGAGCCGGTAGTGGTGCGTTGTCTAGGGGTTTTATAGGCAGTTGATGATTTTTGGGAACTGGATAAAGGCTTAGGGGTGTGGACTTGTTAAGAGTTCTGTGAATATTAAAAATTAACTTAACACAAGAAATTTACTGCTTTGATTTCTCCCTGGGACACCGGCGCCTTGGTCTGGGAGCAGATCAAAAGGCCGCCTGCCCAGCCCCCAAGGTAGGCTGAGGTATTGTCTGTTTGCTAAAGAGTAAATTAAGAATCTTACTTCTTAAACTTCCTGGGTGTTAAAATGCAATCTTACCTTTAAGGTGGAATCCTTCCTGCCTTTTACTATGTTGTTTACGGCTGGGCCTGCAGCTAAATTAGTTGCCCAGTTTGCAAAATCACCTCATCAGGTCTGAAGGAGGAAAGACAGCACATAGGTCTGGGCCTTTAGGATGCTAAGGTGAATCTTACACATGATTACAAATGATTAGCATGATAAAAACATGTGCTACTCTTCTTTATCTGGGGAATATTAATTGATCCCACTGAACAATGACTCTAGAGCTTAATGTTTAACACAGTTTTGGTAGGGGGTTTCCTTGCATGTAGTTACACTGCTCTGATTGCAAATATCCTGCCTTGCTTTTTCCAGAGGCCCTCACCCTGCTCTGTCTAAGCCCACGGTCC